TAAGGATAGCATTCCGATACCTCAATAAGGAATCGTTCAAGACTCTGTACACCATTTACGTCAGGCTCATGCTGGAGTATGCAACACCAGTTTGGAATCCACTCCTGGTCAAGCACGTCAAGAAATTAGAGAAAGTGCAAAGGTTTGTAACAAGACTACTCCCAGAGCTAAGGGCATTGTCCTGCGAAGAAAGATTAAGGGAAATTGGCCTGGCGACGCTGGAGGACAGGAGGGTCAGGGAAGACATGATAACGACATATAAAATACTGCGCGGAATAGACAAGGAGGACAAAGACAGGATGTTCCAGAGATGGGTCACAGAAACAAGTGGGCACAATTGGTAGTTCAAGACTCAGATGAGTCAAAGGGGTGTTAGGAAGTATTTCTTCAGTCATAGAGTTGTCATGCAGTGGAATAGTCTAGCAAGTGGAGGCGGGAACCATACATAGTTTTAAGACGAGGTTTGATAAAGCTCAGGGAGCAGGGAGAGAGATGACCCAGTAGCAATCAGTGAAGAGGCGGGGCCAGGAGCTAGGACTCGACCCCTGCAACCACAAATAGGTGAGTACAAATAGGCGAGTACAGACACACAAGATAAAGAGCATCTCCTACACACACACACACACACACTTATGTACCCACATAACAACACTGTACACTGGCCCCTCTCAAGGTCAACGCAAGGCTAGTGGTACCATGAATATACATTATATGAAGACGCAAATACATGTGATTACCTCCACACACATACCCTTGATAAAGCGTGCGCAAAGATCTGATGTTACTAGCATTCTTCTAGACGCGTTCATTCTGTATAGCATAACTGACATAATTGCAAACAAAAATAAGCCTATATAGTATATTATTATTGTTCATGCTGCATGTCTGTCAGCAATAATTATAATAATCTATAATGCAGTAATAATCTGTAATGCAGTCGAATTGCAATAACTTGCAATTCGACTATTAAAATATTTGTAACTGTTGAGATTTAAATTGAGACTGAGTTGGTATATATGTAACCATGAAAGCTTAAAATGACTGGGTTGGTATATATACAACCATGGAAGCTTAAGTGACTGGGTTGGTATATATACAACCATGGAAGCTTAAAATGACTGGGTTGGTATATATACAACCATGGAAGCTTAAAATGACTGGGTTGGTATATATACAACCATGGAAGCTTAAAATGACTGGGTTGGTATATATATATATAACCATGGAAGCTTAAAATGGCTGGGTTGGTATATATATATAACCATGGAAGCTTAAAATGACTGGGTTGGTATATATATATATAACCATGGAAGCTTAAAATGACTGGGTTGGTATATATATAACCATGGAAGCTTAAAAGGACTGAGTTGGTATATATGTAAATATGGAATCTTCAAATGACTGGGTTGGTATATATGTAACCATGGAAGCTTAAAATGACTGAGTTGGTATATATGTAGGCACAGGCGCTTAGAATGAAAAAGGCTGTGCAGTGGTATATATACAACCACCATTGCCTTAAAATGATATAAGAGACCGCTATAATAAATATTAAAGTCACAAGTCCCATGTATTATCCTTAACGGGAAGCGCTAAACTCCTACAAGCTAAGAGCATTTGGTAAATGGGAGTAAACATAATCCATATCCAGCATAGTTGTAGTTCCTTGAATTAAGAGCCCTTCACATTAATATTATTATTATTATTATTATCATTATTATTATTATTATTAGTAGTAGTAGTAGTAGTAGTATTTATTTTATAAAAACACTTAACTTGAATGGGATATTTCTGTTGTTGTTTCTTCTTCGTTTTCTTTTTCTTCTATTCTGTGAATCGCTAAACCCGTAGGTGGTGAAAGAGCTCTATCGGGAGGTGAAGAGGGAAGCTGTATCCCATGTTTGCCACCACTCACAAACACCAGTGACACAGGCACTCACAAACACCTGTGACACAGGTACTCACAAACACCTGTGACACAGGCACTCACAAACACCAGTGACACAGCCACTCACAAACACCAGTGACACAGGCACTCACAAACACCAGTGACAGCCACTCACAAACACCAGTGACACAGCCACTCACAAACACCAGTGACACAGGCACTCACAAACACCAGTGACAGCCACTCACAAACGCCAGTGACAAGGACACTCACAAACACCAGTGACACAGGCACTCACAAACACCAGTGACACAGGCACTCACAAACACCAGTGACACAGCCACTCACAAACACCAGTGACACAGGCACAAACACCAGTGACACAGCCACTCACAAACACCTGTGACACAGGCACTCACAAACACCAGTGACACAGGCACTCACAAAACACCAGTGACACAGGCATCACAAACACCTGTGACCAGGCACTCACAAACACCTGTGACACAGCCACTCACAAACACCTGTGACACAGGCACTCACAAACACCAGTGACACAGGCACTCACAAACACCAGTGACACAGGCACTCACAAACACCAGTGACACAGACACTCACAAACACCAGTGACACAGCCACTCACAAACACCTGTGACACAGGCACTCACAAACACCAGTGACACAGGCACTCACAAACACCAGTGACAGCCACTCACAAACGCCAGTGACAAGGACACTCACAAACACCAGTGACACAGGCACTCACAAACACCAGTGACACAGGCACTCACAAACACCAGTGACACAGCCACTCACAAACACCAGTGACACAGGCACAAACACCAGTGACACAGCCACTCATAAACACCAGTGACACAGGCACTCACAAACACCTGTGACACAGCCACTCACAAACATCAGTGACAAGGCCACTCACAAACACCAATGACACAGCCACTCACAAACACCAGTGACACAGCCACTCACAAACACCAGTGACACAGCCACTCACAAATGCCAGTCTCAGTAGACACCAGTGACACAGCCAGTCACAAACACCAGTGACACAGCTACTCACAACCACCAATGGCACAGCCACTCACAAACACCAGTGACACAGCCACTCACGAACACCAGTGACACAGGCACTCACAAACACCAGTGACACAGGCACTCACAAACACCAGTGACACAGCACTCACAAATGCAAGTCTCAGTAGACACCAGTGACACAGCCACTCACAAACACCAGTGACACAGCACTCACAAATGCCAGTCTCAGTAGACACCAGTGACACAGCCACTCACAAACACCAGTGACACAGGTACTCACAACCACCAGTGACACAGCACTCACAAATGCAAGTCTCAGTAGACACCAGTGACACAGCCACTCACGAACACCAGTGACACAGCACTCACAAATGCCAGTCTCAGTAGACACCAGTGACACAGCCACTCACAAACACCAGTGACACAGGTACTCACAACCACCAGTGACACAGCCACTCACAAACACTAGTGACACAGGCACTCACAAACACCAGTGATACAGGCACTCACAAACACCAGTGCCACACAAAGCTGCGAGTTAGCCTAAGTGGGCGGCCATGATGTATTTGGAGTGGCCTCCAGTACGAAATGCTTCATCATTCACCACAAACATTGACGGTATTTTCGTCTTTTAAGTATCGTCTATAGTTCAAGTGGAGCTTCAAAGAATGTAAACAAAATATGGGGATGAAATATATTTTATTTGTTTGTCAAGACAGAGCCCTCATACACATAATGTGTATATTTTAACATTTAGTAAATTGCAAGCAGGCACCATAGCGGGCCACTGCTGCTGGCATCTTGCAGAGGAACCACTTACTTCAGTCAGAGGCCAGAAGTCTAAGAGGTAGGTTAACTCACGAATTTGTGGTTGCAGGGGTCGATTCATAGCTCCTGACCCCGCCTCTTCGCTAATCGCTACTAGGTCCATTCTCTCTGTTCCAAGAGCCTTACCGTACCCCATCTTAAAGCTATGTATGGATCCTGCTTCCACTACTTCACTCTCCAGATTGTCCCACTTCCTGACAACTCCAAGGCTGAAGAAATATTTCCTAACTTCCCTGTGACTTATCTAAATTTTTAACTTTTAGTTGTGTTCCCTTGTACCTGTAAGATGTATTGATGCCTAATCCACACATCACACTCTTTCACAAATTATTTATGTTGATGGTTGTGTTCAGCAATCCATGGTGCAGTTGGTAGTGCTGCTGTTGTCATAGTGATGGCTCTCACAAAGAAATTGGAGCACTCATCAACAACTGGGTCTCTACTCTTCAAACAGAACTGTTCGCCATACTTCTTTCATTCAAATGCGTCCATATATCTAAGGTTGACATTATAACAGATTCTTTATCATCTATAAATGCTCTCAACTCCTTAGGTATAAATTGTGGCATGCTTGTGTCACAAGCCAGACACAGGTATGGTAGGATTGTGGACAATGGAGCTGGAGTGCACATGCTGTGGATTCCATCTCACATTGGTCATTAGATGCATTATAGAACTGATGAATTGGCTATGTTATATGCTTGCAAAGAGGGAGTAGATTACAGTCTTGGGTTGTCAGTTAGCAGTTTGAGAACAATAATACGAAAAAACTTCAACTGAACTTTATTAACTTTAGACCGAGGGAGACTGACACCAGTCAGTCCATCTGTCATCATTCTATCATGTAGGAGAAGCCACGTGTCTTTGGTGCATCCAACAAAATAAGCAGACTCTTGGATGTCACTGCCTCCCGGCTCCGGCTGGGATATAAGTATCCCTGAAAGGTTAACTCACCACCAGATGTAGACCAAACGAAATGCAAACTTTACCTGACGGATAATTGTCACACATTACGTCATTATGTGCTGGAGTGCGATAAAATTAATGAATTCAGAGACAATTCACAAAGAGTGTTCAAGAAATGGCAAAGTATTTTATCCACAGTGGTATATTAGAACATTCTGGAAAAATACCCTGACTTTGCTCACTGTAAATGAAGCATTGCCACGTGTGTGTGTGTGTGTATGTGTGTGTGTGTGACTTAACTGTACTCACCTACCTGTGATTTCAGGGGTCGATTCATAGCTCCTGACCCCGCCCCTTCACTGGTCGCTACTAGGTCCACTCTCTCCCTGCTCCATGAGCTTTATCAATCCTCTTCTTAAAGGTATGTATATATTCTACCTCCACTTCATCACTCTCCAGACTGTTCCACTTCCTGACAACTCAGTGACTGAAGAAATATTTCCTAACATCTCTGTGACTCATTTGAGTCTTCAACTTTCAGTTGTGACCCCTTGTTGCTATGCCCCAATTCTGGAACATCCTGTCTTTATCCACCTTATCAATTCCTCTCAGTATTTTATATGCCGTTATCATGTCCTCCCTATCCTTCCTGTCCTCCAATGTCGTCTGATCGATTTTTCCTAGCCTCTCCTCGTAGAACATACCCCTTAGCTCTGGGACTAGTCTTGCTGCAAACCTCTAATTTCTTGTTGTTCTCTTGCTGCAAACCTCTAATTTCTTGAAGTGCTTGACCAGATGTGGGTTCCAAACTGGTGTTGCATATTCCAATACAGGCCTTACGCACACGGTGTACAGAGTCTTGAACGATTCCTCACTGAGATGTCGAGACACTATCCTTAGGTTTGCCAGGCGGGTATTAGGCTTTGCTAGGCGGATATTTGATTGATATACGCCTCACATGTGCACGGTATGATGTTCACTCCAAGATTCTTTCCTTTGGGTAAGTTTTGCAGCCTTTGACATCCTAGGCTGTACTCCGTCTACAGGCTGCTTTGTCCTTCCCCAGGCTTCATGACTTTGCACTTGGTGTTAAACTCCAGGAGGCATTTACCAGGCTTGCAATCTGTCCAGATCTCCTTGTAGTCTTACTTGATCCTCGTCTTCTTCTATTCTCCTCATTAGTTTCGCATCGTCCACGAACAGGGACATCTCTGAATCTGTCCCTTTCGTCATATCATTCTTATATGTATACAAGAAACAGCACCAGACCTAGGACTGATCCTTGTGGAACCCTTCTCTACACTCTGACACCTCGTCATGTACAACCACTTGTTTCCTTCCTGTCAGGTATTCCCTGGTCTATTGCAGTGCTTTCCCTGCTGTTCCTGCCTGCTTCTCTAGTTTTTCAACCAGTCTCTTGTGTGGTACTGTGTCGAAAGCCTTCTTACAGTCCAAGAAGATGCAGTCTACCTATCCTTCACTCCCTCTCTTCTGTCTTCTGTTACTTTCTTGTAGAACTCTAGTAGGTTTGTGATGCAGGATTTTACCTCCCTGAAACCATGTTGGTTGTCATGTATGAGCCCATTCCTTTCCACGTGCTCCTCCACTCTTCCGGAAATCTACTCCATGACTTTACATACTATACATGTCAGTGACAGCGGTTTGTAGTTCAATGTTGCCTGTCTATCGAAACAGAACAAATGCCTGAGGTGTCTTCCACACCTTAGGCATTTCCCCTGTTTCGATGACCTTATTATAACAAGAGCAATTTAATTTTGCCTAATCCAACTAAATATATTTTAGATAAGTTTACAATAATTTAATAATAAACAAACACAATGAAATGTATTTTTTTTTTGTTAGGTTCAGAATGATTTTTGCAAAATTATTCCATACACAAATTTTCGCTTGTCTTATTCAGCCAAAATCGAAAGTTTTACTTAATTACCACCATCAATACTTTTGTACTCTGGGGTCATTATTAAGTAAAATTAAGGGTTATTGTCAGGACACAGTAAATCGTGGATAACTGAAACCGCGGAAACCGAATCAGCAGGTTCTACTGTATGTCTTGTTTGGTCCTTCTGGCTTTCCGCTGCCATAGTATTTCCTAGCAGTCCATCCGTCTGTACTGCCGGACTAGTCAGCTTTCTATTAAAGTCTCTAAAGATAAGTAGTATTGCCCTCATTCCTTTAGTTCTTGGAGCTATTCTCTCCAGGTTTTGCATATCTGATGTTGTTCTCTTGACTATTTTGTGTCAGATGGCAGACTATAAATTGTTAACTTCTTTAAAGCCTCTAGTCTGCATAGTCTCTTCTTCGTAGTCTCTGAAGTTTCTGGTCAGCAGTAATATCTAATCACATTCATTTTCTTCCTCTCCTACCTATGTGATATCCTGTAGGTAATATATATGTATATTCTCGTGAATTTCATTTATTATTATTATTATTATTATTATTATTATTATTATTACAGTAGGACCCCATATCCGAGTGGATACATTCCAAGACCTACCGCGGATAGTAGCGTACCCTATAATTAATTTATGATAAAGTTTAATTGATTAATTATGCAAATTAGGTCTATAATTAGCCTTTTTTTTACTGATTTGAAGCACTTCATAACTTCTCTTAGGCTTTGAAGAACTGTCACCATCACTACTTTTGCACTTTGGTGTCATTATTAAGCGAAAGGTTATTTTCGGGGCAGGGTAAACAGTGGATGACTGAAATAGTGGAAACCGGACCCGCGGATATGGCGATCCAACTGTTTTATTATTATTATTATTATTATTATTATTATTATTATTATTATCAAGGAAATAGAAGGTAAGTTATTTCTAACGAATATGAGAACTGCTACAATTCCTTTGATCAAGATCCCTTTACGAGCATGACGGCACACCTCGCTTGAAGGGTACCAGAGATGAGCTAATCTATTACATTTTTTTCCAGTGACTGTAGCACTTACCACTGTCTATTTAACCCATTTAAATATTTGCCATTCGGTTTGCAGTGAGGATAACCATGCTGACGGAGGCTCTGTTGGGAGTGCTGCTGCTGGTGCTGCTGGTCACTTTCATTAACAGGAAGCCTAAAGGTCTTCCTCCAGGTGTGTACTGCTATGTGGAAGTTCTGTATATTAAGGTGGGAGATGTAATAAATATATGCTTACTTGTATTATATAACCTTTACAGATTTAGCGCTTACCTTTATTATTATTAATTATCAAAAAAAATGTAAATTTGGAGGGATCCTCTGGGAGCGACTGTCGACTGTATAAATTATTTCTTTATATTCACTTGTAAATGCTGGACCCGTAGAGGTCAACAGCGCCCAGGGATTGAGATGTAATCAAGATCAGTCCAAGAAATGGAAGAATAGCTTCAATTCCTTGCATTTAGAGCTCTTCACCGCCCTCAAGGCACCACCTTGAAGGTTAGCTGTAGAGCTTTTCAGTGGCCTCAAGGTACCACCTTGAAGGTCAGTTGTAGAGCTCTTCACGGCCCTCAAGGCACCACCTTGAAGGTCAGTTGTAGAGCTCTTCACCGCCCTCAAGGCACCAACCTGAAGGTCAGTTGTAGAGCTCTTCACGGCCCTCAAGGCACCACCTTGAAGGTCAGTTGTAGAGCTCTTCACCTCCCTCAATGGTAAGAGAATGTTCCTAAAATTTAACATGAGAACTGGAAGAGATTTACAATATCACCAGGAAACACTGAGCCCATAAGGGGGGATACAACTCTTGAGGTTTGAAGAAGTGGAGGGTATATAAATTCCTCGGATCAAGAGCCCTTCATATCCTCCATTTAATATTTATTTGATAACTTGAGAGGCTAGCGAGGTTAAGGGTGTCGTGTTGCTGTGGCAGGAGAGTGGGGATGGCCAGTGATCGGTGCGTGGGTTCCTCCAGGCGTCACCATGGACGCACACGCCTGGAAACTCAAACAGAAGTATGGTGATATTTTCACGTAAGTTACAGCCGATGTTTTTATAAGTGTCAATTAGTGTGTAACGACCCGCTTTGCTTCACGCTGCGTTATCTCTCTCTCTCTCTCTCTCTCTTTCTCTCTCTCTCTCTCTCTCCCTGGCAAATGTTACACCTATACTCAAAACAAGGTCACAAAGACTCGTGTCTTCAACTATCGTCCATCATCTGAACATCACTTTTAATTAAGCAAATAGGAACTGTTATTAGGGTAAATATCGTTAATTTTTGGAACATAATTTAATAATCGAAAATCAGCATGAATTTCGCAAGAAAATATCATATCTGACTAAGTTACCCGACCTTTTTATTCATATAATAAATATCTTGAATAAAAAAAATTCCAGTAGACACATTTCACCTCCATAAAAAAATGGGGTGGGGGGGGGTTGGCATTTGTCGAGATACCTCATGGAAGATTGTTGGCCAAAATAAAGGCGCATGATACAGGAGATGAACTTTATCAAACCATACCACGGGCGGGGATAGAACCCGCGATCAGAGTCTCAAAACTCCAGACCGTTGCGTGAGCCACTGGACCAGCTACAGTCTGGAGTTATGAGACTCTCTGATCGCGGTATGGTTTGTTTGCAATTGTGTCATTATGATTTCGTGAATCATGAACTTTATCCCTTAACGACTAGCTCACAAACAGGGAATTGCGAGTTGTACTAAGCGAGAGGTGTCTGAGTAGCTAAACCTTAGGAGAAGAGGTCCTCAGGGTCCTCTTGGTTCAGTCCTCTTCACCAGGTACATACGTGATCTTCAGGAAGGCCTAACATCCAATATAACGAAGTTCGCAGATGACGCGAAATTAGAGAAAAATTGTTTCAGTATTCAGACGAGAAATTAACCGGCACAAGAGATGGAGCTTAGTAATGATAAGCAGAGATTTCAAAAGTACTAAATAATGTAAATCTGCGAGCAGAAAAACCAACAGAAGACACATTTCATTACTAAACGCTGAATACCACTGTGTCAGTGGAACGCCTTCCATCTGAACAAAAAAAAAATAATGGAAAAATAAATATAAAGAAACGACTAGGAAAAATAAGAATAATGACTTTTGAGGATTTTACTTAAAATTTAAATATAATAAAAAATGGCCTTTGGTTCTTTTATTGGGCAGGAGTAGGTAAGGCCCTGGACAGATCTCTGATGTTAAAGAGGTAGGTTATCCTGGGCAGATGGTAACAGTCCGATGTTTTGGAATCTCCTCTACCACTTGGTTGGAGCACCACAAGTAGAATAAATAAGGGCCGGTAGTAGTCTAATAATTGTTAATAAGTCCCATTAACAAATGTCTTGCTCCTTTATCTGGCGTCTATCCTGGATGACCACGCCAGGAACAGAGCTGGTAATAAGAAAAAATAAACTGGTTACCAATGGTCATGATAATATAACATTTAAGAATGGAAAAGAATGATAAATGCCAAAATCATTACTGGTAACCAGCAAACAAAAGAAAGGAACAAACAGTAATACTCCTGGTAGATCACCCTACCTGATTAAGAGAAGAGTGGAGGTGAAGTGACTCTCCAAACTTCAACCCACACCAGGTAAGGTTAATACTACCAGGAGTAGAAATTTGAACAAATCAGACACCAAGAACTAGTTTCGCCCCAGCCCGCCAGAGGAGGCTATTCGCTGCCTGACCACGGTTAAGTGCGGTTGTGCTCTGCACCCCTCTGCTGTTTTCAGGCGAGCTACCTAGTACCAACATGGCATTGTTCGCATGGCTCTCGGGCCGTGTGGACCTCCTGCGCAAACGCACTTCAGTTCCTTGACTGCAGTAGTGTGAGGTGGTGCTTGTCGCGCCTCTGCCGTCAGCCCAGGAGAACTACCATTAGTCAACATGGCGTTCAGTTATAGACGCAGGATCAACACTGTCGGCATTGAACTTCTCAGTGGGGCAATAACGCCAGCTTCAGCCCAGGTATTACTACCTAAAATCATCAGAGACACGTATGGCATTCAGGATGGAGAGTTGTACGGAGTAGCATTGAACGGAGCATGTAGATTTTTTGTGAAACTGCTCTTAGCAACGGTTTATGAGTCGTTGGTCAACCGTTTTCAGGTCGTAAGTCTTGATGCAGCACCAGCTGTTCGTGTGAGGATGATCGATGTATCCAGACATTATACATGGATTAAACTGCATAATGTCCCCTTTGAGGCTGATGAGACAGATATCAGAAAAGTTTTTGAGGAATACGGAACTGTTCATTTGGCTCAGCATGGTAAGTGGGTGACGGGTGCCTACACAGGTCTGCCGGAGGGCACTTTTAACCTAAAAATGACATTGCGACACCCCATACCGTCTTACGTGTACCTAAAGGAATTCAGGACACAGGTCATGGTGTCATACGCCGGGTAAAGGCATACATGCCGACTATGTGGGAAATATGATCACATAGCGGCAGAGTGTGGGAAGCGGCAACTAGCTCCTGGCCCAGAGACGGAGACATCGGGGGAAGCAGGTGATGATCAACGATGTAAAGGAAGGCGTGGTCGTCTATGGAGCTAGATAGTGGATGAGGCGCATAAGGCTAGGGGAGAGGGTGAGGCCCTTGACCAGTTACCTGGCCCAGAGACACTTCCAGAGGATCGGGATGAGCAAAAAGTACAGGAGGAAGTGTTGGAAATTGAGGAGGAATTAGCCGAGGTTCTGAAGTCCTTGTCACCGCCTGAGGAGGTGGCTGCTCCTGGAAAGGTGGTAGAAGACGAGTTGACGGCTGTGGTGCATCAACAACAGAACTATAAGATAAGATAAGATTTCGTTCGGATTTTTAACCCCGGAGGGTTAGCCACCCAGGATAACCCAAGAAAGTCAGTGCGTCATCGAGGACTGTCTAACTTATTTCCATTGGGGTCCTTAATCTTGTCCCCCAGGATGCGACCCACACCAGTCGACTAACACCCAGGTACCTATTTGCTGCTAGGTGAACAGGACAACAGGTGTAAGGAAACGTGTCGAAATGTTTCCACCCGCCGGGAATCGAACCCGGGCCCTCCGTGTGTGAAGCGGGAGCTTTAGCCACCAGGCCACCGGGCCAATCCGGGCGACGGGAGTGACAGCGTGACTGAGGTGTCACCGAGATCATTGCAACTGTGTAGAGTGGAGGTTGAGGTACATTGTGAGGCATCCCCAGAAAAAGCTATGGAGGATGCCCCTGTCACAAGAAAGAGAGCCACTGCGTCGGATTCAGATGATGTCCTAACACCAGCGCAGCAGACTGGGAAGCAAATATGGGCAGAGGGTGAAGGTAGTGGTGGGCCCTGGGCAGGGGGCACCGAAAGAAGGGGGGGGTGAGAGGGAAGTGTGCAGGTGACAAGTGGACCCACACGTTCTGGTGCCCATAGGAAGAGTGAAGAGAGGAGGCAGGGGTGGAAACTTTAACAGGCCTCCGGTGTATGACAGTAAACGTTAATTGTTTGTGTAATAGTGTAAAGAGAGAATGGTTTAGAATGTTTCTGAATAAATATAGAGTGGATGTTGTGTTCCTTCAGGAGCATAATTTTAAGGAGGGTAGGGTGTTGGAGGTGGCGGGGTTTCAGGTGGTAACCTTGCCATCTGCCCGTTTGAAAGGAGGGGTGGGTATATTAATTAGGGAGGCGAGCCCGTTTGTTTTGCAGAGAAGTGAGGGGGGAGGGGGAAGGGTGTTGCGCATAGATGGTTGGTGGATGGGCAAACGTGTGGCCTTCATTAGCTTATATGCACCTGCAGAGAATAACGTACAGGTGAAGCAGGAGTTTGTGTGTGAGGACCTTGTGTTTTTTTTCCGTGCATTACCGGAGGTGGCAATAGTAGGAGGTGATTGGAACTGCGTTATTAGGAGGGCTGATGTGGAACCGAAAGGGGCAGGCTATGTGTCGGTGACCCTAAGAGATTTATTGAGGGATATTAGGTTAAGGGACGCGTTCGAGGGGGGGGGCGTGGGAGACAGAGCATACATTTGTTAGGAGAGGGTATGCAGCGAGGTTAGGTAGAGTGTATCTTTCTCACGGGGTTGTAGTGCGATCTTTCAAAACTGTTGAAGTAGCATGGTCGGATCATAGAGCAGTGTTGGTGGAGGTTGGGTGGGAGGCGCTTGCGGAAATATACAGGAGTTACTGGAAATTAAATATAAGTGCATTGAGTGATGAGGAGGGGTTAGAGGGATTTTCTGTCCTATGGAAGGAGCTTAGCGAGGAGGCACAGGGAGTGGAAGATGTCGTACATGGTGGGGTTGTGTAGCCAAGGAAAGGATTAGGAAATATTATGTGGGGTGGCAAACGTATAAATGATTTAAAATATGGACTTTCAAATTATTTAGAGGACAGGTTAAGGGTCTGTTATGGGAAGGGGGCTGTGGGGGGCAACTATCCCATGGATGAAATTGTCGAGGTCAAGGGGAGACTGAGGGAGTTGCAAAATGAGAGGTTTCAAGCGGTAAGGGTGCAGGCAGGGGTAGAGGAGGTGCTTTGGGGAGACAAGCCATCGGCATGTGTGTTGCGACGTCAAAAACAAAGACAGCAGGTTACAGCTATTCCGAGGTTGGAGGTACATGAGATGGCGGGGGGTTACAGAATGGGTCAGGAGATACTAACTATGAAAGGAATGTGTGCGTATGAGGATAAATGGTATGAAGGGTATTGGACAAGTGGGAAGGTGGGGAATGTGGCTTTAGAGAAGGTGTGTGAGTATGTGACGTGTAATTTAGGGAATAGTGATAGAAAGGCTTTAGGGGGGGGTAATAACGGAAGAGGAAATAGAGTTGGCTTTAAGGGGAATGAGGAAGGGCAAAGCACCGGGAATAGACGGTCTCCCGGCTGAATTTTATCTCCAACATTGGGAGGTGATAAGAGGTTTCATGGTAGGTTTATTTAATCAGATGAAGGAGAAGGGTGTGATGGGGGGACAAGCAAGCAACAGCAATTGTAGTGTTGATCCAGAAGGGTAAGGGGCAGCACACCCTCAAGGAGTACCATGCCATAATCTCTGTT